ATCTGGTCCGTGAGCACGTAGAATTTTGTCCAATGACCCCAAGCTACCCATCCTTATCGCTCGCGCGTAATTATGTTGCTATCGCGCTCGCACACTCACTGCGGGTGCCAGTCGCACAGTCGCGACAGCAATATACGCGCGAGCGATAAGGATGGGCAGCTTGGGGTCATTGGACAAAATTCTACGTGCTCACGGACCGGGCTTTAGTGCGGAACACGCGGTCATCACTTGGGGATGTATTTGAGCAGCTTGATCTCGTGCGTGAGCCAGATGGCCAGTGTTAGCAGCAGCAGCGAGCCCGACTGGTGCGATGCGGCGAGTGGTGTGGGCACGTAGGTCAGAAGCGTTGCGATGCCCAGAGACACCTGTCGGGAGTTGTGTTGGTTATTAAGTTAACGATGAAAAAACCAACCAAATTGAGAATCTTTTTGAAGTCGGTTACAAATCTAAGGAATCGCATTTAACTTCCTTCTCTATCCCATTTTTATATCATTAGCACGGGTAATACCCGTTATAAAAATGGGAGTAGAGTAAACCGACAGTCATTGGACAAAACAACCCTTGAATTTTCTTAAAATGAATATTCCTTCAAATACAATTAATATTCCTTCGAAAAAACGCCCTTTTATCTCCATCAGTCGGAATCTCTCAGTTGTTGAAATAGAAACGCTATTTTTAATTCAGTAAATAACTGTCCAATAACTTTCTTAAGTGTCCAATGACTGGCAGTTTACCCTACGTGTTTTAAAGGCCACAGGCGAGTGAGTTGCTAACATCGAAAGACACTGACTGAACAGCCATCTTCCTAGCAATCTTACGCCCGTATTCACAAAAATTACAAGGTCTCACAGTGTGCGTGGACGCACAGGGTAACACGCGAACCAACCACAGAGCCCTATTCAACGCTGTGCGCTTAAGCAAGCATCGTTTGTGAATACGGGCGTTTGCCACAAACCAGCGACAGTGGCGTCTTCTTAGCCACCAATCAGCGACAGCGACGACCTCTTAGCCACCGACCAGCGACAGTGGCGCTCTCTTAGCCACCAACCAGCAACACTTGACCAATCTATAATCTGGGCCGGGAGCACGTAGAATTTTGTCCAATAACCCCCAGCTACCCATCCTTATCGCTCGCGCGTAATTATGTTGCTGTCGCGACTGTGCGNATAGCAACATAATTACGCGCGAGTGATAAGGATGGGTAGCTTGGGGTTATTGGACAAAATTCTACGTGCTCACAGACCAGACTATAGTACATATCATACCTGAAGCCACGCCATAGCTCCAACAGCGGTAGCCACTCTCCTCGCAGCGGGCGATAGTGGCGCCCTCCTGGCCATCAACCAGCAACAAGTCGCCGCTATAAGGGTACAAGTTCCCAACACTATGGTCGAATTGCACGGTGGTGGGATTCTCTGTGAAGTTTCTCACGGGTGGCACTAGCCAGAAATATGCTGGCCAAACTTATTTTACCTGAAGCAATACTACAACTCCAACAGCGGCGCCCTCGAAGCCACTACTCAGCAAACGTGACCCAACTTAAAGCCCGGTCTGTGAGCACGTAGAATTTTGTCCAATGACCCCAAACTACCTATCCTTATCGCTCGCGCGTAATTATATTGCTGTCGCGACTGTGCGACTGGCACCCGCAGTGAGTGTGCGAGCGCGATAGCAACATAATTACGCGCGAGTGATAAGGATGGGTAGCTTGGGGTTATTGGACAAAATTCTACGTGCTCACAGACCAGACTATAGTACATATCATACCTGAAGCCACGCCATAGCTCCAACAGCGG